TCCATCTATTCTATTCTATTCTATTCTATTCTATTCTATTCTATTCTATTCTATTCTTTCCTTATTCTATTCTATTCACATCCCATCCCATTCCATCTATTCTATTCTATTCTATTCTATTCTATTCTATTCTATTCTATTCTATTCTATTCTACTCTACTCTACTCTACTCTACTCTATTCTATCCTTATTCTATTCATATCCCATTCCATCTATTCTATTCTATTCTATCCTATTCTATTCTATTCTGAAGCCACCTTGGTTGGAGCAATGGGATGTATGTAAATCTTTCTGTGCTTCTAACAGAATTATTTGCAAACATGTGTTTATATAACATGTGTGTTTTAACTCAGAAGCAAATGTCATCTTTTCCGTTTCACAATATTTACGCCGCCCACAAGCTCTCTTGGTCAAGTCACCGAAGACTTTGTGGATGGTGAAATTTCTAAGATGTGCTGAGCTTTCCTTTTTAACCTTTCATAAAACGTTGTGATCTTTATGGACTGTATCATATTGTGCCATAATGTGCTTTATTGTCCACAGAATAAGCTTTTCTTAAAGATAATTGGAAAGCTGGAAATGGCTGCCATCAGATTATTATTATTTTTTAGAACCCACATTATTTCTGAAATGGGGCTGGTGGGGTAATAATGACCCCATCCGTTCAAGATTTAAGATTTGTCTTGGCAGGGGAAATTGATCCGTTTCACCTTTGTCTAATGGAAAATTTTATCTTGGATTATCTGTTTATGTAAATGAATGTTCCTATGAAAAGAGAAGTTGAGAGGATTGTAAATCTCTCTGACACTTCAGTTTAATAGGGGGGAAATTGGAAAGGAGTCTAGTATTTATCTGTCTGAAATTGGTTATAAAAACAAAATTATTTGCATGTACTTCCGCATCTGATGTTCTCTGCAATTTCATTATGCTTTTGAATCACGCAGAGTTGCAATAGCAGTTGGGAGCATCCTTTCTCCTTTTGTAGATTACAAATTCTTGGGTTTCTTGTTGTCGGGCAAATCTATAGAGCCAACAGGTTTAACACTGATCTGATGTTAAGCGTGTATCTTCAGTGGCTTGTTTAACTTCGTTAAAAGTTAAGTTATAGTTTCCCCATATTGTGTGACGTCAATAGAACTGTGGTCTCCTTGACATTTTGCGGAAAAATGATGGAAGGTCTCGATATTTTGGCTGGAGTAAGTGGCGTACTTGATATTCCAGGGGTTGGGAAGATCTAGATATGAGATGGCAGCAAAGTTTTTGCATGCACCCATGCAAACTTTTAGTACAAACTAGGCCAAAATCTACCTACCATGTTTCCCCGAAAATAAGACAGGGTCTTATTTTCTTTTGACCCCTGAAATAAACACTTGGCCTTATTTTCAGGGTGGTCTTACTATTTTTGAAGGGCAGGAGGCAGCGAACATGGTCACCTCATGGCTGCTGCTGTGTTTCAATATTTTCAGGGAGGGCTTATTTTTGCGGAGGGCTTATTTTAGCGCATGAGCTCAAAAGCGCGATTGGGCTTAATAGACGGGGAGGTCTTATTTTCGCGGAAACAGGGTAGGTTAGACACATTTTCCCAAAAAGTAGAAATGGAAAGAAATGGAACTTGACATATTGAACTTGACACTGGAGGTTTTTAAGAAGAGATTGGATAAATGTTTGCCTAAAATGGTGTAGGGTTTCCTGCCTGAGCAGGGGGGTAGATTAGAACAGTGTTTTTCAACCACTGTGCCGCGGCACACTAGTGTGCCGTGACATAGTGTAAGGTGTGCCGTGGGAAAATTACTTTATATATAGT